GGAGTTGTCTAAAGATGTCTTTGTTGAACAGCCACAAGGATATGTTCGAAAAGCAGAAGAAGATAAAGTATACAAGCTGAGGAAGTCTTTACAAGATGATTGAAGAAGTACAAGTGGGTATGCGTGTCTTTTGAGTGGAGGAGCTGTGTCTTGGGCATAAAAAAAGCAACTGTTTGTCACTTTATCTACAAGTGAAGCTGAGTTCGTTGCATCAGTTTTTTGCGCATGTCAATGTGTCTGGATGAGAAGAATCTTAGAGAAATTTGGTTTGGAGGAGGTTGTAAGTACCACAATCATGCGTGACAAAAATTCTACCATCAAGCTTTCAAAGAATCCTGTACTTCATGGTCGAAGCAAACACATCGCTGTTAGGTTCCATTTCTTAAGAGAGCTTACAAAGGAAGGAGCATGTCAAGCTTGTTCATTGTGGAACAGAAGATCAAATTGCAGACGTCTTGACCAAGCCGTTAAGACTAGAAGTATTCACAAGGATGCGGGAAAAGCTTGGAGTCTGTGAAAGAAGAATAATCTGAATGTGGTCACATACAGTTTAGGAGATGCGTTGCTGGAGTTTGAATCAGTCTTTGATCTTTGAATAATCTCCTCGATCGTAGGAGTCAATTAATTGCTCTATATTTTTTGTTCTATTTCTGTATTATCAGTTAGCAAGATGTAGAAGACTATATATGTCTTCAGATGTTGGCTATTTAAGCCTTGTTTCATATGCATATTAAAACTATCGAAGTACTTTCACTTCTGTTTGAGTATTGAGCAATCCATAGAGAACTACACCTTTCATTGACAAAATGAAGGATGGACAAATGGATGAAATAATGTTGAACATAACAAAGAGAGCTAATTAGGACATCCAAATATCATCATCAGATTTAGCTTTTATATCTGAATTCATGTTTAAATATTTATTCAAGTTTGTTTTCGGTTTTCATGCACCAAGATTACATTTATGAGTAATTTCTCATTAATTCATGCATGTTGAAGACTGTTTTGTGTTTTCCCAATTCTTTTGTGTGTTTTGTACTTTATCTTGTTTTAATTGAATCTCGTCTTTATATTGTGGCTCATTTTCTTAACATGAAATCAGAAAACGAGTTTATGAAATTAGAATGTTTTTGTGAGCCTTTTTGAACTGTTTTGATATTTTTATATTATTTTGGTTTGGAAGAGTCAATGGTGATGAATTTCGAGTTTGTGAGGATATGTTTGATTGCCAAATTTTCCAAGGTACATCATAAGGAAAGGAACCAAAACCACAAAAATCACACACATTACAAAGAGGAAGCCAGCATAGATAATGATGATCTCCTTAGACGAAAGAGGGGTTGCATGTTCTAAGGGCATTAAGAAATTGACAAGTTATATGTACTAATTTTTACGTAATTAAATAGCATGATGTTGCATGTGAACATATTGTTTATTAAAAATATTATATTTCTTTTTATAATCAGCCCTAGAAAAAACAAAATGCAGAAGCTAAAAGTTCAAACCTGATAAAGAGAACATAAATGATGAACGTACATAATGATCCATCTCCTAAACGTTTTAATAAATTCAAAAGAAAACTTGTTCCAAGGAGCTTATGTGGTCTCCAAAAGGGATGTCAACGTCGAAGCTCCCATTGTTGGGTACAAACCAACGTCCCATATCGGAAGTTTAGAAAAGAAGTTTCTAATATATAAGTAAGGTCCAACTCCAATTAGTATGAGGCCTTTTGGGAAGGAGCCCAATAACAAATCCGTGCGGGCTTGAGCATGTAGGCCCAAAGCGGACAATATCATACTAAAGGAGAGTTGGAATGGGCTTACGAAAGCCCAATAAATGGTATCAGAGCCTAGGTTGAAAAATGTGGACCTAGAAGTGTGGGCTAAAGTTCGGTGTGGGAGTAGCCCTCAAATGTGACACGATAAGAAGGTGCCTTAAGAACTTCGCGAATAAGAGAGTGTGCCGAGTTAGGGTGCCTAGGTTTCGCTGAAGAGGAGGCCCAATGTTCGTGGTCCTTGGTTTGAAGGGGAGATTGTTGGGTACAAACCAACGTCCCACATCGGAAGTTTAGAAAAGAAGTTTCTAATATATAAGTAAAGTCCAACTCCAATTAGTATGAGGCCTTTTGGAAAAGAACCCAATAACAAATCCGTGCGGGCTTTGCCACTTGGGCCCAAAGCGGACAATATCATACTAATAGAGAGTTGGAATGGGCTTAGGAAAGCTCAATACCCATGACTGGCCTACAATAAATCATAAGCCGATAAGTCTAAGGCTTAACAACAATAAAATCTAATGCATGTAGCATGAATTGTAACAAAGTGAATGAGAGAAATGAATTTAATGAGTTCTAAAATCGACATAACACAAAAAAACTTATTTTCAAGCTACCCATATTGTAGAAGAGTGGTTAGTGTATATAACAACATTCCATAATGAAATGAAATCCCTTATATATTTATAGAGAAGCACTCTAAAAAATAAACCTTACTTTTACGTGTTATTAACTAAACTGCCATGCTGACGTGTCGTTTTCAGAGTGATTTTCCATCCATTTAAATTATTACCCAAATTTTGCTAGACTATTTACAGATTTTGCCATTAGTCTTAATACATACACTAGATGCATGACCCGCGCCTTGCGCGGGAGAAGGTTGATGGTCACAATTTTTTGTATAAGTAAAGAAATAGTTCAATTTTTAAAAGGGTTGAATATTTTGTGTCTTTCAATAAATTTTTTTATATCCGTATAAATTAGTGTTTTCACGTCCGACCCGAATCGTTCGGTATGATCGGTTAACCTGTGATCTGTACACTTCTCCGGTATAGGTTTAGTGCTAATGTCCGGTAAATTTATTTTTTTTGCTCAGATGTCTAGTTTTTTCAAAACTGAAAATAAAACCCACAAAAATCTATCATTAACCCGTAACATGATGATTCGGTTGAACTGACCGGGTATCAGATCAAAAGCACATCATTTGATTTTGAAATAAAATATAGGATTTTAGATTTTTTTTGTATTCACTATTCGGTTATTTTTAAAACTTTTTCAGTTGTTCATATTCATTATCTTACTATCTTAGTATATTTTATGGTTTTAGTTGGACTAAAAAATTTTAATCCCTTATATATTTTTTTTGTTCTAATTTTAATTTTGTAAAAAATGATATGATTATTTTAATTCTAATTTTTATATTTATAAAACATATATAAAGATTTTATTATTAATATAAATGCTAATTTATGAAAGATGTAGATATATCCTTTATCACTTAAATATACACATAAATGTTTGTTACATTTTAATGTTTTTGCTAATTAATATAGATATCTAATGTTTATATGGAAAAAATGTAAGGCAGTTGTATATTTAGTTTGGAAGTATTAGTTACTTGATAAGATTTGTTTAAGGTTGGACGTAGTCTCTGTTACATTTTAATGATCTTATAGAGATAAAGATGGACTCGTAGCCTCTTTTATTAATATTAGTTACGTAATTATTTGCTTAAGTTTGTGGTATATTTATTTTGGAAATATTTGTTGCATAGTTATTTGTAATTTCAATTAAAAATTCATTTTGATTAGTGGGATATATATTTGTATAATATTAATGGCAAATTCTGTAAATAGTCTAATAAAATTTGGGCAATTATTCAAATAAGTGGCAAATCATTTTGAGAGCGACACGTCAGCATGGCAATCTTGTTAATAACACGTCAATATAAGGTTTGTTTTTAAAATGTTTCTCTATTAATATATAAGGGATATATCACAAAAATAAAAAACGAAATTATAACTAAAAACAAATAATTAGGCAACTAATTTTCATATTTATATTTAACAACAATTCACGAGAGCTTTGTTTATTTATATTAGTGATCTATTTTTTAATAATTAAAAAACATACACTTTTTGTTTATCTTATATTAATAAATCTTTATATTTATATTTTTCTTTATATATATTTATATAAATCTTCTCAAGCCGATGGGTAAACAATCTTTATATTTAATTTATATTTATATTATGTTTACATTTAAATAATAAAATATATACATTTAGTTCAATAATCTCGAATTTAAAACTACAAAATCTCCACATCTTTCATAAATTTAGAAATCTATTGTACTTAAATACATAAGATAATCTCTTTTCAATATATGTTACGAATACTTAAAATCCGATTTTTTTGGAGGGATTCTAACTTTTCGAAGAAAAACTAACAACATTTATTTATAAACTAAAATCTGGCCCTATTATAACCATTTCGTAGCAGTCCATTCATAATCTAAGAATCTTAATTTGGAACACTACAAAATCTTAACTTGGAAACTATCAAATCTCATCTTTGATAAATTTTTGGATTTCTTATACTTAAATCTCGACATCTTTTTTTTTTTTTTATCATTCTCGACATCTTTAAAACATATAGAAATGCATATTAGCATAAATGGTAACATTTCGTCAATACTTTCTTTATCACGTTGAAGCTTTATTCCAGGTTCAAATATTTCACGGGTAAAACGTATTCATATACGAAATAGTCCCAAATTTGAATAAATAAAAAATAAAAAAAATTATTACATGTTTCGTTTTACACAAACGGATCTTGGATCCCAGATAAAAAATTAATCATAATAATTTTACTTGGATCACTTCATCCCGCACATAGTGCGGGTTGTTATCTAGTTTTATATTAAAAAGAAAAATAATTTTCTCTCTTAGATTAAGAGTAATTCCAACTATTACTAATTATCTTCCATATTATATGTTAAATATTTTAATCCACATGTTTGGTTTTGCCAAAGAAAAAAAAAATGTAAACAGCAAATTATATGTCAGATATTTAGTCCGATTGGAAGCTATATGAATTATTCACTCTAAACAAATTTTTTATGTAATATGATATAAAAATACATAATTTATTTTAAAAGTAACTAAACATATTTCAATATATAATTTTTGACAAAAAAATTACATATTTAATGCTATTAATTTTTAACAAACTGTTTCGCTTATTTCCATAAATGGTAAAATTACACCAAAAAAGGGCAAGAAAGAACCTAGCTAGCTACTTCTAGCTAGGAAAACAAATCAATGTTAGTCGTCGGAGATTCATAGATCCTCGGATCCCGAGTGCATTGTGGAAGATTCGACGGCGGAGGTAGCAAGCTCGTATCCTGAGTTGGCCCATTTTGAACTATGAAAGCCATAATAATTCCGTACTGTAAATGTGCCTCCATGTGACAATGGAACAACCATACACCTAAAAAATATAATTTTAACCCATCGTTAGTCTTTGTAGATGAGAATCATATTTTTTATATTTTTCGAAAATTAAAGAATTTCTAACCAGGGTTATTAGCGATGAATCTGAGGACAACCCATCCACCCGATGGCACGCCAACGACATTGTGCATTTGCGGGTTAACTAGATTTAGCTTTCTTGAATCGCGGATTGGATCATAGTTACCGAATCCATAACCTAACACATAGAAGTTGAAGCCGTGAAGATGCATGGGGTGGTTCTCGGTGGTGATTATCCCCGTGTTCTGCAAAACGATCTCAACGGTGGAATTAAATCTAAGTTTCTTGACGCTAGTCTTTTTCTCCGGAAAGATCATCTTGTAATCAGAATCGGTACGGATTTTGAAATTTGTGTACTCAAATTTGAGCGGCGGTTGGTCGGGAAAATCGTCCGTGTAGACTCCAGTGATGTTGTAGAAATAAGCCTCTTGTAGAGATATTGTTTCTGGATACATAAATGTATGGTTGTTGAGAGAGCCAGCAAACTGTAGTCCTAATTTGCTAGGACATTTAGCGCCCAAAGGGCATGGCTCTGCTCCTAACCCCACCGTTATAAACATCTTCTCGTCCACTTGACGTGGCATTGGTACCCAATGTGGTCCACCCACTAGGCTAGTAATGTTCGAGGAGAACCTATGAGCAGTGGGTGTGTCATTCAGTTCCGGCATCAAGGGCATCTTCGGGGATGAGGATGATGAGGCCCCCTCGTAGATGATTAGGCCTCTAGTGACTTGAGCAGGGAACGGTAATCCCGGGGCAGTAATGTAAGGGATTATGGCCATGTAGTACAATCCGGTGGGCTGATCCGCTTTGAAAAGTGCATCGATGGTTTGTCCCGGCATTAAGATCATGACATCGCTGACATAAGGCGTCGTATAGACAGCGTCCATAGCAACAACTGTCACGCTATGATTTGCTATTTTGAAGAAAAGGGGACTGTTGAGCGCTGCGTTTATAATCCTGAGCATGTATGTTTTTCCTTGTACTACCTTTAGTTTAAACATCCCTACGCAAGCCAAAAATCAATAATCAAGAAAAAGGAAAATAACTTTAAAGGAAGATTAAAGAATAACGATCGAGTATTACTGTTCTTAGAGCAAGGATATGAATCCCCGGCAAGGCCATTGATGAGGTAACCATCGCAGACCGGAGTTGGCCGTAATTCGAGACGATCAACATCTATGTTCCACCATTGTCCTTGTATCATCAAATTTTTTTCCAAACAAATTATTAATTAACAATTTCAATAATAACCAAAATATGTTATAGCGAATGTTTAATCCTCCTTATAACGTAAACAGTTATTAACTACAAATATATTTTTTCTTGAGAAAAAGGTATCATGTTTTTAATATCTTAAACCCAAACCAACCTAGTCATACTAGTAACATTGACTAATTAAATGTTGATTATACTTTATGCCAAACAAATATCAGTATGAAAAAAATAAACTATATATTGTAATTTTAAATTCAAAAAATCATTCACAATTTGTTTCTTTTATTATTTCTATTTTTTCATTGTAACCATAAAATTCACGACCTAACAAAACACTGTAAATCATCCTTGTCCCAAAAAAAATCCAGTTTTACTTCTTGATTTCGATTTAAATAAGGATTCCTTACCAAAAATGAGAGGAACTTCCTTGTAGGGTTTAGGAAAGGGGTAAGGACGGTGGGATCGGGGACGGATGATTAGCGCACCATGAAGAGTGGCACGTAAATTCAGGACGTGAGCATGCCATAACAATGTACCTTCTTGTCCAGTGATATCGAATTGATATGTGAAGTTGTTATTTGGTTGAATCGGACATTGAGTTATCATACCCACACCATCCATCCATGAGCTTTTCAACTGAAACACTCCATGCCTATATTATATTTGTGTGCCGTGAAATTTGTTTTAATAAACACAAAGTAAATATTTTTCTGATGAAATAATATAGAGATCAATAAGTTATTTAGTTACCAGTGGATGGTTATATTGTAAGTGGAGTTGTTGATGACATGAACAATAAGAGTGTCACCTTCTCTAACATTAATCGTCGGACCGGGAAGACTTCCGTTAACAGTTGGTATACTTTGCTCCTTGCATAGCGGTTTCATCAAGAGGTTTCTGACCTGTTGTCGACACCGTTAATACCCCATCAATATTAAGTTCCCATTTATAGCTTAGTTAAAAAATATTTGTTATGCCCTTCACATAAAAGAAAAAATATGTGTTTGATATAAAAACAAATTTATTTGCGTTTTGTTAATGTTATAAAAAAATTTCAAATGAACTTAATTCTAAACATTTTATGTCAATTTAATTATAAATATAAACGTTAAATCAAATGCGAACAAAAAATTAATAGAAGATTTAGTCAGCATTTTAAATTTATGAATTTTTTTTTCTTATTGTAAAAAATATTACATCAAATTATAAAAATAACTGCAACTTATGTCATAATAGTTTAAGATAGCTGGATTTGAAACCGCCGAATTTGAAGATCAACTATCCGATTCCGTATCCATATTTATGGTTTCCTGATATCCGATTTTTAGATATATGTCTAAATATCAAGATATCGGAAAACAAAAAGAGAACATTCCACGTTTAAAGTCATAACATACCAAATATATATTTATATAATGTAGAGACATAAAAAAAAAATGTAGAGACATATATCTTCATTATAGATTATATTTATTAGATTAGATCCATCACATAGGGATATTAGATTAGATCCATCAATTACAATATTTAGCATTTGTAGGTGGAGTAACCAAATAATGTTTTTTTGATACAACAAAAAAATTAAGAAAATTTTAAATATGCATATGAATTTGGACCTAAATTTTTTTACCTATTTTATCATATTTAAGATATCTTTAATAAAAAATTTGAAGAGAGCCTAACAATAGTTTTGAAATGGAGAAAAACACAAGCACTTTTGTAGATATTAACACCACCTTTTTGTTTTAAGGAAATACGACTGACTAGTATATAAAATAATATATGATATAAGATCCACACCAAAATTTTCATAATGAGTATAAGAGTAAAAATACGTGGAAAACTTGGTTGACGGTAGTTGCTGAAGCAGTGGAAGAGAAGAGGAGAAGGACGAGGAAGGCTACGATTGGGATATAATGATGAAGTGGAGGCATTTTTGTGTAAGGATATGAAAACGTCGTTGTGACTTGTGAGTCGTGACTTTGTGATAGACTCATAATTTATAGAAACAAGAGAGGACTAAAAAAAAGAAGGATTAAGGAAGTTTACTTGTTATATATATATATATATATATATATATATAACAATAGAAAAACTATCTTTAATTATATATATAAAAATTGACCAATTCTCTACATCCCTCCGCCACGTGAGCAGTGGAAAGAGTGTCACGTGTCACATCATCATATTACATTTATTATTTTATTTTATCTAATTAAGAATTTAAATTATGCATAAATTCTTGCTTATATGAAAATTGACATATTTTAACTTATTAATTAAGTAGTTTCAATTTAATTAGTTACAAAAATATATCAAACTCAAATAGAACTTAAATTATTTAAATTAGTTATATAAATTATATAAACTTATGCATAAACATAAAATTAATTTCATGTTTAAACACCAACTTAGTTGTTGTTTTTAATTCTCCACGTTTGCAGGGTGGAAGACTATATCATATTACTTTTATATGACACGGAAATAGGTGGATTTCACGTGCTTGTGTTTTTCTTCCATCTCAGAAATGGTTACCGTATTTAGTGGATCAATCAAATATTTTTGTCCCAAATTATTTATTTAGTTATTATAATATCACCAAATATTTTTGATCTAATTTTATTATGATAATAGATTATACATAACATATCTGATTACGATAAATAATTTTTACGGATAATGATTTCATGATAAAGTTCTTCCTACAACACTCAAATTTACGATAGACGGTTTTACATATACAAAATCTGATGAAGATGTTTTTTTCGAAGTACACAAAAATACGATAGATGTTCTGTATGCAACACTCTAAATTTTATAATAAAAGTTTTATTAATAATTTATAAAATAGCCTTTTTTGAAAATCGAACCCAAAATTAAAAAAAGATTTTTAATATTTATTATAGATAAGATTACTCGCAAAATTTTTACTTTTAATAATGGCCGCAATTGCACAGACAAGCGCAATAGTATTTAAGATCGAACTCACAAAAATCAAAGAAACACACAATAAATTTGCAAAGATTTAGACTAAGCTAAAACAAGAAGAAGTTACAAGAACTCGTGTGAAATTACATAATAATAAAATAAATATATAAATATAAGAAATAGAGGATATTGAAATTATCAGAGAATATTTAAACCCATGTATTGTTTCGTTTATGATTAATAAGATTTTTGAAATCAGATTTGTATTATGAATTACCCTAATGGTGTTTAGTGATAACTCCTATGAAAATACTATAGAGATTCATAATCGTTTGCTCAAGCTTGTTTTAGGCAATCAAATCAAGCATTAAAAATAGAATCCAATAAATTCACAAAACACAATAACATCAACTTGTGGTTTGATTGGTTAAAAAAGTTGTGCCTATCTTTAAAAAATCCATCAATTAACACCACTTTTGGTGGTTTGCTGAATTAAATCATAGACAATAGGTGAACTGGCCTCATTCATTTAACTCTTTGAGATTAATTAAAAATAGGGAACAATCAATATAAATCATAGCAAGAAATACACATCGAAGATGTTTATAATAATATCTCCTTTGTAATCCCTAAACTCCTTGATTAGACTACTCACACATGACCTAAGTACCAAATAATTTTAATAATTTGAAAGTAAAACTAATCGAAGAAGAAGAAGAGAAAACACCTTCAACTATCCAAATCGTCAAAAAGTATGCTCTGCGGCTACAGAAATAAAGGGTATATGCAGCCTTAAAATTAAGAAAATGAAGTTTTACAAAATCCTAACAGATCGGTTATGCGTCCCAACCGATCACTAGGCGGCGCTTTTTCATACCGACTGGTTCGATTTCTCAATCGGTCGGTGTACTTATTGGATCATTACTTCTATTGATGTGTATTGGCCCATTTTTTCTTCTAAAAAGCCCATTTATATTCCGCATGTCCAAAAACCTGAAAACACAAAAAGACATCGAAAAAGATAATTTTTCGACTAAAAAACTCGATGATTTTTTTTATAAAACCTAGAAAACTTGTTAAAAATAATATATAACACATACTTTTGATGACTAGACCTAAAGATTTCAACTGCCCCAAATATAAGTATATTTTTTTCTCTCATCATTATATAAATATTTTGGTGTATTGTGATTTAAGCGAGGAATGTTATTACCGTATTTGGTGGATCGATCAATTTTGTGTCGCCCCCAAGTTGTAGTTTATTTGCTATTTTTCTTGATTCGCCACCGGGTATATTATAATTCAAGCGTGGAATGTTCTCCTATTTTGTTTACATAATTAATCAGATTGTAGGCCATTGGGAGAAAAGCAAAATATAAACGCGAGTGGAATTTTTTTAGGCTAAAAACAATTATACATTTAATTAATCACAGTGTAGGTCATTTCTATCTATTTATTTTTGGAAAAACTACAAAATCTACCACTTATTCCCAATTTCTTTCAAAATCTACCACATTTCTTCCCTTCTTTCAACTCATACCACATTTCGATGTAGAGTTACCATTTTGCCCTCCCTTTTTATCTTCCCTTTTATCTTTCCTCCCTATTTATTTCTCCCCCTATTTATCTCTCCTCCCTATTTATCTTCCCTACAACATTAGCTTCCCTATTTATCTCTCTCTCCCTCGAAACACGTGCACTTTAACCAAAAAACATTATATCTCCTGAGACTAAACAATTAACTTTCGTTTTTGTCTCCAGATCTTGTCTCCGATTGGAAATTCTCTGTTGCGTCCAGATCTTGTCCTCGATTTCATCATCTTGCTCTATTATTATGAATTCCACATCTTGTCCACCAATTGTTCTCATTTAAGGGTTTCGAATTTTATTTAGATTTTTCACCATCTATTTTGGTCCACAGATTAGTTGAGCATTATTATCTTCACCTACCCGGATTATTGAATTTGTTTTCCTTCTATTGCAAAATAACAAAAAGATCCAGTTGTCCCCGAGTACTATTACTCATTCTATTACTCATTCGATATGAACTTGTCTCCGATCTAATTCTATTACTCATTCGATCTGAACTTGTCCCCGATCTAATTCTATTACTCATTCGATCTGAACTTGTCTCCGATCTAATTCTATTACACATTCGATCTGAACTTGTCCTCGATCTATATCTATTACCCATTCGATCTGAATTTTTCCCCGATCTAATTCTCTTACTCATTCGATCTGAACTTGTCCCCGATATAACATATTCGATCTGATTCTCTTATTCATTCGATCTGAACTTGTCTCCGATCTAATTCTATTACCCATTCCATCTGAATTCGATATGAACTTATCCCCGATCTAATTCTATTACTTATTCGATATGAACTTGTCCCCGATCTAATTCTATTACCCATTCGATCTGAACTTGTTCTCGATCTAATTATATCACCCATTCGATCTGAATTTGTCCCTGATCTAATTATATTACTCATTAGATCTGAATTTGTCCCTGATATAACATATTATTTAAATAACCGTGCATCATTTATTGCAGACCTGCTCCTTCTTTGGAAGTGCCAGACAAAACTGTCTCTGTCTCTGACACAGACTCTGTCCCAATCAGGGGTATTTTGGTCCAGCATTCCACATGTGCTATTAAAATATGGTAGATTTTGAAAGCTTTTTGAGATTGTGGTAGATTTTGAATGCCAGTTGTTGGAATGTGGTAGATTTTGCAATATTTCCTTTATTTTTTTAATGTTTAGTATTGGAATTTTTTCGGTTAAAAACAATTATACATATCCTAATAAAAGTTTGCAAGTGGAAGCTTTTTAGGCCCATATAATTGACAAATAGTTAACTAATGTTTTAACATTAGAAATTTTGGGGTTCGAATCTCAGATAATATAATTTATTAACAAATATGCTTATTAATGGTGATAAGTTTAGATGAGATCTCCAGAGTTGTGCAATTAGAGCCATTCGCGAT